ATATCATATTTGTTTACAGACTCCTGTCATGTGTGCCGCCATCCATATTATCTAAGTGTGTGGGTTTGTTAGAGGTTTACGTGGCCTAGAGCATGTGTGAAGGTAGCCACTTTCTGGTCTAATGAGAAGATTCTTCAGGAGTAAATAAGTCATAGTTTATTCCACCTCTGCAACTATTTACAAGTCATGAGAATAGATGGTTACAGTGTCACAAATATGGCTTTGGGTTTGACTTTGCTAGAGATGGTTCTACTCTACTCTATCAGAATGTTCTCATGACATCACCAAAGTAAGAGATTCTTTTATTACATTCAAATAAGTATTAACTCTTTCAGATCCTTCTAGACCCATTTACAACACTTTTCCTCCAAGACTTATTTTTCTGATAACTATTACTGCTATACCTTTATTTATATAATTACATTTACCGCTACCCCATTCTCCAACACCACAAATTCGGATAATCTGGAGATTTGCCAATTTTTCCTGAATGTGTTCTCGTTAGACTTGGAGAAGTGATAATTTGTTGGGTAGAAGGTAGTTGTCTTTGATTGTCTTCCCAATGAGGTTTTCCTGTGAATTAGAGGACCTGTAATCGCTTGTATTTATTTTGTGCAGGATGTCATCTCTGTTTGAGCAGGCACTTTTTATTTGCAGTATCTCGAGCCTTTGGGTTTTGCTTGTTTGTTAGTGATGTCTTGCATGTAGTTGTATGTACCACATGTTTCAGCTGAGACTGTCTTACCTCACTTACCTCTTCATTTGGGCAGTTTTTTGGTATTTTGTTTGGTTGTTGTGTCTTTCTTCAGCACATTTTCTGAAAGTGATCTTCTATTTTACAACAAATGCATTTGGTTTTGTTTACTGGGTACTGTTCATGCCTGTGGACTTTCTTTATTCCACAACATCGGCAAGGGATTTTTGTGTCTGGTATTTGTCTTACCCACTGCGTCAGCCTATCGCTTACATCTGTTATAGTTCTGTACCTTAAGAATTCAGCAGATTCCAAAGATCTCTTGGACTAGTCATGATCATCATCACTTATGATTATCTGTTTTGTTTCTGGATTTCTACTTCACTCACCATCTGAATGACTTTCTCTAGATTCTAGTCTTCCTTGGACTGTAATAAACCTGACAAAGACTCATCAACAGTTCCTACAATTTGATATCTTATGAAATCTAACTTTCAATCATAGTCAAATCTCTCCACTTGTCTGTAGACATAATTAATGAAGTCATCTCTGGATTGCTCTGGATGCTGTATTCCTCTGTCAATTCTTGTTGTTTCAAGAATTTTGTTCATTCTGAAGTTGAAGTAATTGTCAACGACTTTTATGACCTATTTCAGTGTGCCCATTGCCTTTTTGAAATTGTGAAAGTAATAATATCATCTGCTATACTCCCAAATGTGTAGGAAAAAGTGTTTGTTTAATTTCTTAATATGCAATTTAGAAGAATTTATATACCTCAAAAACTGTTTTCTTCAGGATACCAAATCCCCTTCATTGATGATGTGGGTATTGTGGAACTTTTTCCTTCTACTAGTCATTTAATTTATCCACCTCTAAACATGACTGAACGTGGCTGAAGTGTAGAGCTCAGATCTGATTGTTTGGCCCAACTATTGTATTTCTGCTTCTACTGTTTGCCAAACAAGTAGCAATGTATTGTAGCTTCACTAGGTTGACACCTCAATTTTAAGTAGGCCTGGTGCTGTTCTGGCATACTCTTCCCCTTCATTGAAGCAAATTGATCTGGTGGCTTGATGGTAAAGGTAGGATGGGCATATACTGTGCCATGAGGTTATAGATTGTAGTTGAATACTGGATTACTGTTGCTGATAGCCCACAACACCTCAGAGATGCCCAGTTTTGAGTTGTTAGATCATTTCATAGCCTGTTCCATTTAGCATAGTAGTAGTACCACACAATATAATGGAGAGTCTCCTCAATGTGAAGACAATGTGTGGTGGTTACTCCTACCGATAATGTTGTGGACAGACATATCTGTGATAGTAGATTAGTGTTTTTCCCTCTAATTGGCTCCCTCAACACTTATCACAGACCCAGTCCAGTTGCTATGTATTTTGGGACTCTGCCAGATCGGTCAGTAATAGTGCTACCAAACTACTGCTGGTGATGAACATTGAAGTTCCCCAGCCAGAGTCCATTTGTGCCCTTGCCATCCTCAGTGCTTGCTCCAAGTGGTGTATACCGTAGAAGTGAAATGATTCATATGCTGAGGAAAATGGTTGGTAGTAACTTTAGAGATGGGCCAGATAGAACACAAGATTGAACATCAAGACAATCAAGGTGGTATTTGACTGAGTAAGGCACCAACGAGCTCTAGCAAACTAGAATTAATGAGAATTGGGGGAAATCTCTCTGCTAGTCAGAGTCACAAAGGAAGATGCTTGTGGTTATTGGAGGTTAATCAATTCACTCATAAAGTCACTGAGAGTCATAGAGATGTACAGCATAGAAACAGATCCTTCAGTCCAAATTGCCCGTGCTGACCAGATATCCTTAATTAATCTAGTTCCATTTGCCTGCATTTGACCCATATCCTTCTAAACTGTTCCTATTCATATACCCATCTAGATGCCTTTTAAATGTTGTAATTGTACCGCCTCCAACACTTCCTCTAGCAGTTCATTCCACACATGCACCACCCTCTGCATGAAAAAGTTGCCCCTTAGGTCCCTTTTAAATCTTTCCCCCCTCACATTAAACCTGTGCCCTCTAGTTTTGGACTCCCCTACGCTGAGGAAAAGACCTTGGCTATTCACCCTATCCATGCCCCTCATGATTTTATAAACTTCTATGAGGTCATCCCTTAGCCTCCAATGCACCATGGAAAATAACCCCAGCCTCTCCCTTTAGCTCAAACCCTCCATGACCCCCCGGCAACATCCTTGTAAATCTATTCTGAACCCTTTCAAATTTCACAACATCTTTCCAATCGCAGGGAGAGCAGAATTGAACGCAGTATTCCAAAAGTGGCCTAACCAATGTCCTGTACAACCCCAACATGACCTCTCAACTCCTATACCCAATGCACTGACCAATAACAGCAAGCATACCAAACGCCTTCTTCACTATCCCGTCTACCTGTAACTCCAATTTCAAGGAACTGTGAACCTGCACTCCAAAGTCTCTTTGTTTGGCAACACTCCCCAGGAATTTACCACCAAGTGTATTATAAGTCCTGCCCTGATTTGCCCTACCAAAATGCAGCCCCTCACACTTATCTAAATTAAACTCCATCTGCCACTCCTCAGCCCATCAAGTCAAGGTCCTGCTGTACTCTGAGGTAATCTTAGTGGTTGTCTACTGCACCACCAATTTTGGTGTCATCTGCAAACTTACTAACATATGTTCTATACTCATATCCAAATCATTTATATAAATGACAAAAAGCAGTGGACCCAGCACCAATCCCTGCAGCACACTGCTCGTCACAGGCATCCATCGAAAAAGCAACTCTTCACCACCACCTAAAGGTCTTCTACCTTTGAGCTAGTTATGTATCCAAATGGCTAGTTCTCCCTGTATTCCATATGATCTAACCTTGTTAACCAGTCTACCATGAGGAACTTTGTCGAACACATTCCTGAAGTCCATATACACAAAGTCAACCGCTCTGCCTTCATCAAATCTCTTTGTCTCTTCTTCAAAACACTCAATCAAGTTAGTGAGACATGATTTCCCACACACAAAGTCATGTTGACTATCCCTAATCAATCTTGGCCTTTCAAAATTCTTGTAAATCCTGCCCCTCAGAATTCTCTCCAATAATTTGCCCACTGCTGATGTCAGGCTCACGAGTTTATAGTTCCCTGGCTTCTCCTTACCACATTTCTTAAATAATGGCAGCTCAACTATGGCTGTTGATAATACAATTATCTCAGCAAAGGACCCAGCAATCACTTCCGTAGCTTCCCACAAAGTTCTAGCATACACCTGATCAGGTCCCAGAGATTTATCCACCTTTATGCACCTTTACGTCCAGCACCTCCTCCTCTGTAATATGGACGCTCTTTCAAGATATTGCTATTTATTTCCCCAGGTTCTCTATCTTCTATATCCTTCTCCACAATAAACACTGATGCAAAATACTCGTTTTGTACCTCACCCATCTTCTGCGAGATCCACACATATGCCGACCTGCTGATCTTTAAGGGGTCCTATTCTATCCCTTTGTCCTTAATGTATTTGTAGAATCCCTTTGAATTCTCCTTAATCCTATTTGCCCTCCTAATTTCCTTCTTAAGTATACTCCTACTGCCCTTGTACTCTTCAAGGGATTCGCTTGATCTCTGCTGTCTATACCTGACATATTCCTCTTTCTTTTTCTTGACCAAACCTCAATCCTGGACATCACTGCAGGATTTTCAAAAGGTAATTTCCTTCTTCCAAAAATCTTCAGCTGCTTAAGCAAAGAATCTTCCCTTCATCATAACGTCAGAAGTAGGGATGTTTCCTGATTTTTGCATAATGTTCGGCACCATTCTTGACTGCTCAGATATTGAAGCAGTGTCCCTATGCAGCAAGACCTGGACAATATCCAGGCTTTGGCTGACAAGGAATAAATGTGAGGGTGCCATAGTCCTACTGGACCATAGGGCTGCTCTCCCTTTACAGAAAGATGATGGGGGTAGTTTAACCCGAGGGTAACCATGCCTTAGGCATGGGGCGAAGTTGAGAAGGAGAGACCTTCGTGGTAACCTCAGCCAGTGCAGGAATTGAACACACACCATTGGCATCACTGTACATTGCAAATCAGCTGACTACCTGAGCTGACCTCTATAAGTGGCAAATAACATTCGCACCATACAAGTGCCAGGCACAGACGAACTCCAAAAAGAGAGCATCTAACCATCACCACTTGACATTCAATGGCATTATTATCATTGAAACACCATGATCTATATCCTGAAGATTACTATTGATCAGAAATTGAACTGTGCTTCCAAGAACAGGTCAGATGCTAAGACTTATGTCGTAAGTAACTCACCTCCCATTTTCCCAAAACCTGTCCACCATCTACAAAGGAATATTCCCCACTTGTCTGGATGGATACAGCTTCAATAACATTTCAGAAGCTAAACACCATCCAGGTATTCCAGTCCAAACATGTGCAGGTTAAGTGTATTGGCCATGCTAAATTGGCCACAGTGCCCATAGTATCCAGAGATGTGCAGTCTAGGTGGATTAGCCATGGGAAATACAGGGTTATAGGGATAGAGTAAAGGGGTGAGCCTGGGTGGGATGCTATTCGGAGGATCAGTGTGGACTCGATGCGCCAAATGGCCTGCTTCTACACTGTAGTGATTGTATGATGAATTCAGCTTGCTTGATTGCTCGGCATGTCTCTGCCACCTTTAAACCTGAACTACCTTCACCATTGACAGACTTGTGGCTGCAGGGTGTGCCATCTGCAAATATACTGCACCAAATCACTAACTCTTCAACCACACAATACAATACTACCGTCCAGAAACAAAAAAAAGTGCCAGGGAGCATCCTCACTTACAAAGATCACCTCCAAGTCAGGCCAGGCAGCATCAAAGGAGCAGGAGAGCTGATGTTTCGGGTCTGGACCCTTCTTCAGAAATGGGGGAGGGGATGGGGGCTCTGAAATAAATAGAGAGAGGGCTCTACACCTTGTTATCTCAGACTCCAGCATTGGCAGTTCCCACTATCTCCTTCAAGTCATGTGGTTATTTGACTTGGAAGTACTTTGTGGGTGTTGGGTGAAAATCTTCACATTCAAATCCTAATAGTGGTGTGGGTGTACCTGCAACACATGGACTACAATAGTTTGAAGAGTTAACTCCTAGCACAAGTCTTTTTCATGCCCTTCAATCATGCGCTGCTGTAGGAAATATTGTATGTTGTCAAAGTTAATGCTTGGGAAGATATAATAGTATAGCATAGGAGGCCATTCACCCCATTTAAGCCTCTGCCAGCTCTTTCAAAACACAAGCCAATTAGTCCCATTCAATTAGAAACAAAAAAAAACTGCAGATGCTGGAATCCAAGGTAGACAAATAGGAGGCTGGAAGAACACAGCAAGTCAGGCAGCATCTGGAGGAAAGAAGCAGTGATCATTTCGGGCATTACGCTTCCTCAGTCCTGAAGAAGGGTAATAGCCGAAATGTTAGCTGCTCCTTTCCTCCAGATGCTGCCTGGTTTGCTGTGTTCTTCCAGCCTCCTGTTTGTCTACCTAGTCCCATTCATTGATGCCTCTTGTTGCAGCAGATGCATTATTACTAATTAATCGCTAATAAGTTTTATTCATTTTTAAAATAAAATACATTATTCATTCAGTGCCAGACATAAATCAGAAACGGGGCACGACTTACACTGAGGCGGCGACGCCATGAATGACCTCTAACCTACATTGTTTGTCCGTTGTTAAGCACGCGGCGTTACTAGGCGACTGGTGCCGCTAGTGGGCGGAGCTAACGGCCGCGTCCTTTCGTTGTTGCGGTTTACAACTACAATCCCCGATTCAAGCGGCCGAGAGAAATCAAAGTACTGACCCGAAAGAAGACCCAGGAAGAGGGTGGGTTAGGAAGAAGGCAAACAAAACATAAAGAAAATAACCGAAACCGTTAGGGCTTTCAGCCCTCTTCTCAAACCCCTACACCAAAAGCGCGGGATTTTCCCCATCATTCGCCCCCTCCACCACAACAATCAGGCAGGATTGTGATTGGTTAGAACGGCCCGACGACTGCCGTCGGAGAATATCGCTGATTGGTTAGATCGACACGGCAACGGCGGCCAGTGAGCATCGCTGATTGGCTACTTGTCCATCCCCACCCCTTTCCCTCCCCCCCTCTCTCCTTTCCCCTAACCCCAACCCCAGTGAAACGGGATCGCTTTAGGCGGAGGTGCCGCACGTTAAGCCGCTTGCCGGCTTTTGTCCATCACTCAGGAGCTGTCGCTTTACCTGAGTGTCGACTAGTTTGTACCTGTGAAAGGAGGCTCGAGGTTTGTGCCGGTATTCGTTTTAAATGAGATAGTAAGAACCGCCGATGATCAGTCTCAGTTTAAAGCATGTAGTACCCCCACCTGTCCCGAAAGCCTCTCAACCCCTTTAGACTTGCTGTACCGGTGTTCACCGCGGAGATGTTATTTGTTCAAGTTGTTGCTGTGTGTGTGCGCGCAAAGTAGTTTCTGTGTAATAATAGTTTTATAATATTTTGCGTAAGTCTCCTGCTCCTGGTGTTTCTCTCCATCTTCACTCCTTGATGTCATAATGCTACGCAGCCTCTGGTACGTGTGACAGCAGCGAGCAGAGTGTTAAATTGAGGGGGGGGTGCTTTTTAATATTTCCTGGAAATAACCAGATATTTTAAATATATGTATTATATATGATATAAGGAAGGGGTGAATTCGTTTAAATATATATACATATATACCCACGGTGCCACACAACCAAAAAACTCACCCAACCTGGAGGACACACGACCAAGCCTCACCGCTCTCCCACCATCATGTCTTCAGAGTTGCCAACGCGCAGATGGAGTTGGGCAGCCTCTGACTTCAAGGTAAAACTGTATGTAGAGAGGATAAACAAAACAAGGCTGTCGGAATTCGCTTCCACGTGAATCCTTTACTACTTCGAATCAACGAAAAAAGCGTGCTTTAGGAAGTGAATTGATTTTTTTTTTTAAAAAATCGTTTCTGCAAGACCCTTGCTTCTTTCAAAAATAGTCTCCGAAAACCGTGTTATTCACACACACCCCTCCGTGTCTCAAGAAATGCGGTATAACCATTCATGCGTAAATATGAACCAACATTTTTAAAAAAAATCAACAACAGAGTTTGCACAGCATCAATTGAAACAATCGTAAAAGCAACTGGTTGCTATAGCAACCGCTTACCCCTCTGGTTGTTTCTCCAGTATCAAGCAGGTAGGGGAACTTTATCCTCACTGTTTTAAATGGCGATCCTAATTAATTACTATGGTTAACAGAATTTCCAATGTAATTAAAATGCTCCTTTTTATGTAAATGAATGTCTAATGTATAGGATACTAAGATGCATAAGTGCAGAAGCAATGTTAGGCCTATTTTAAAAATAAAGGTTAGGCTACAGATTAGGAGGAAAAAAAAGTACACATTTGGATGTGAAAAAGGGTGCAAAAGTAGTTTTAGGGATTATATTGCTGGATTAGTAATTCATCTGAAGTCAAATCCCATGGCAATTTAATATCCTGGAAAGGACAAAACTAGTGATGGTGACCATGTAGCACTTGAGTTCTGTAATTTTAAATTTGTGAATATACACAAGATAGCTCCTTGAATGACGGTTCACTGGATGTTGAGCTCTTCTCTGCAACTCTGGTTTGTGTTTGTCAGATTTTTATTGAAAGTATTTTTGCCCAAACTGAGGTAAAGTTAAAATGTAAGTTTTAAAAATTGCATGTGCTGAAGGATGGCCTATATTCTGGCAGTGAGAAGTTTTTTGTCATAGAAAAAAAAAAGATCTTGCCAGGGAAATCTATGCTTTTTCATAATTGCTCTAGAGAAGATGGTTTGAATCACCTCCTCGAAATAGATGAAACTACTAGATTATGTCCCTTAATTCTAGACTCTTCAACCAGCGCAAATAGTTCATTTTAATTTACCCTTTCTTTTCCGGTTAAATCTTGAACATCCCTTGAACTTGATGAGATCACCCTTTAACTTTCTAAATTCTAGAGCATTCTATCTGGATGCTTCACAGTGTGGTATGGCAACTGCTCTTCCCAAAACCGCAAGAACCCACAGTCGTCAATGCAGACCAGCCTTCCATCCATTGACTCCATCTATACTTCCTTTTGCCTTGGGAAAGCAATCAACATAATCAAAGACCCCTCTCATCCTGCTTATACTCTCTTCCACTCTCTTTCGTCGGGCCGAAGATATGAAAGTTTGAATATATGTACAAACCTAGTCAAGAACAGCTCCTTCCGTATTGTTATCAGATGTCTGAATGGGTCGCTCGCTCTCTCTTGCTCTCACCCCCCATCTGTTGCACTTTGTATGCTGTATAGCATGGAAAACAACTATTTTCATCATAACTCGGTACATGTGAAAACAAATGAGATCAAATAATTTGTATAATCTCTGCTAATGTAAGCGGGCAAGTCTGGCTATCATTATCGTAAATCTATAGTCTACTCCCTGCAATGCCAAAGTATCCTTCCTAATATGTGGTGCCCAAATCTGCTCTCAGTACTCTAAGTGGAGTCTAACCATGGTTAGACATAACTTCTGCATCCTTATACTCCAGTTCTGCAGGTATAAAGGCCAGTCTTCTATAAACAGCCTTCATTATTTTCTGCACCTGTCAGAGGCATTTTCAAAGTCTATGAATCTGAACCTCGAGTCCCTGGATGTCCACTGTGTTTAATTTCATGCCACGTAGAAAGTACACTGATCTATCCTGATTTGGGTCCTCCTAGTTAGTTATGTTGGACTCCATCTGCCACAGTTTTGCCCACTTTGTTTTTTAAGAAGGGTGAAAAAGGAAAATCAGGGAATTACAGAGCAGTTAGCCTGTAGTCATCTACCTGCATCCCTTTTGTAATTTAATGCTATCATTTACACTCTACAGTGCTGACTAACTTTGTCAAGATCAAACTTCAATATGAGTTTATACGATTATCCAAGTTGTTAATAACTATGTGAACAATTGAAGCCCTAACGCCAATCCTTGTGGAAGACCACTCATCACATCCTACCAATTTAAGTATCTCCCCATTATTCCTACTTTTCATTTCAACCAATTTCCAAGTTTTATGTGTAATTTTGCCCACAACTCTGTGGATTTCTACCTTAGTTAACAATCTCTTATGGGATTTTATCAAATGCCTTCTGGAAGTCTGTATAAACAGCATCCATAGATGTTCCCCTGTCCACAGTCACTTTTTCAAAAAAAATTAAATGAGGTTCATCAGGCATTTCCTACCTGTCCCAGATCCATGCTGCCTCTCCCTAATTAAGTAGAAAAAATTTGAGCTGTTAAGTTACCTTATCCTTGATTATAGACTCCCAACAATTTCCCCACTACAAATGTTATGCTAACTGGTCTGTAATTCCCTGGTGTTCCTCTTTAACCCTTAAACAGCAGAGTGATGTACGATTTTCCAATCTTGAGGGCTGACTGCTAAATCTAGAGAACTCTGATTGTAGTTAGTATAGTCTACAGTCTGCTCCCCTACTTCCTTTAATATCCTCAAATAGAAACTGCCAGGTTCTGTGGATTAATCACTGTTTAGGTTCATTAATTTCCTCATTATTGATGTTTTACTTGTACTATTTTCATTTAGTCCCAGTCTCCCTAATACTCTACTAATTTCCTCAGCACTTCTGGCAAGCTTTTCTCCCTTTCTACTGTAAGTTCCGAGGTGAAGTAATTATTCAACATGTCTGCATTTTTCCATAGTCATTGACAATAGCCCCACTTGAAGTCTTTAGTGGACCAACCTTGCTCCTGACTACCTGCTTTCCATTTATGTAACTATAAAATTTTTTTCATTGATTTTGATGTCCCTTGAAAGTTTTGTTTCATAGCCTGTTGTAGTAGCTCTTTTCAGCTGCTTTGTGGCCCTCTGCTGGTCTTTGTATCTTCATTATTTGGCAGGGTCTGTGCATGTTTTGTTTTACATCTTGCAAACCCTTTCTTTTAGTTTTATGCTCTCCCTTAACTCTTTGGTTATCCATTCCTGTGGTTTTTTTTGTGAAGGGGGAGTTTTACCGTCCTAAGGGTATAAATTGGTTTTCAGTATTGCATTAAATTTTTTTACACATGCTCCACTGTTCTTCAGTTATTTTACCCACTAGCAGATTTTCCCTGTTTAATGTGAACAGTCTCTGTCTCATTTCATTAAAATCAGTCTTGCCTAAATGTAAAATTCTAGTAGCTGATTTGTGCTTTTTGCTTTCAAACATTACGCTAAATTCAATCGCAGAATTAGGTTACTAATTAATTCCGGCTCAAGACTCATTACTAAATTCAATATTTCTTGTTCCTTTGCATCCAGGACATATTACTGCCAGAAACTCTCCCAGGCACACTCCAGAAAGTTACTATTTTTCTGACAGGTGGTTGTTTGCCTTTCCCAATCTATGTTAAGTCCAAACTAAATGAGTCTGAGTGCAAAAATGGTTTAAGAGCCTGTACTGAATTCTTGATATTAGTTGTACAATTGCATAGAGATGTTAAAAGGAGGCCTGCATTTTTTTCCTCAATTAATTCCAGGTCATGACTTTTGCTGGCTGGACCAGCGTTGCCCATTCTAATTATCCTTTAGAAGATGGTAGTGAGCTGCCATCTTGAACTGTTTGTTTTATATTTACTGTAGAACTAGGGATCATAGTTTAAAAGTAAGAGGGTACCCGTTTAAAACAGATTAGGAAAGCGTATTTTTTTTAAATTTGAGTGTAGTGTCTTTGGCTATCCTTTCCTCAAAAGGGATTGGATATAGAATCTTCATATATTTCTAAGGCAGAGGGAGATAGATTCTTGATTATGAAGCAGGTGAAAGCTTATTGGGGATATGCAGGAATGCACAGTTGAGGTTAAAACTGGATCAGCCGTGATCTTATTGATTGGCAGAATAAGCTTGAAGGGCCTACTGGCTTACTCTTGTTCCTTGATTGTATGTTCATGGGATATCGGTGCCACTGGCTGGGCCAGCATTTATTGCCTTTTCCTAATTGTCCTTGTGACAGCTCACCACCACTTTCTCCTTGAACTGCTGCAGTACATGGGCTGTAGGTATACTCGCAATGCTGTTAGGGAAGGAATGATAGGATTTTAATCTTTGAAGGAACAATATGTTTCCAGGTCAGGATGCTGAGTGGCTTGGAGGAGAACTTGCAGGTTGTGGTGTTCCTATGCATCTGTTGTCCCTATTCCTTCCAGATAGAAATGGTTGTGGATTTGGAAGGTGCTGATGAAGGAGCTTTGATAAATTTCTGCAGTGCATTTTGTAGATA